TTCTTAACCGGCATTAAGTTGAAACAAGAAAAGAGATAGTAACGTTTGATTTAAATTAACTATTAATTTAAATTAATTTAAAAGTTAATGCATAAAAAATGCAAAGTAACAATAAAAAATTACTATGTAGAATAGTTTAAAAAGGTAAGAGAGCAACAATGCAAAGAGAGAGAGAGAGAGAGAGAGAGAGAGAGAGAGAGAGAGAGAGAGAGAGAGAGAGAGAGAGAGAGAGAGAGAGAGAGAGAACAAAAATCGAATACGAGAAACATAACCAAAAAAGACCAAGTGGATGCCATATTTAAAAATGCACAGTAATTAAAATCCTTCGTCGATACAAAAGCTACTGCACCATATAGTATTACCCGACGTAACATGCGCGCATTAGATTAAACACAAAAGTTACACAACATGATTGCGCTGCTATGTACAAAAATCATCGAGGGAGATAGTGTATTCTTTTCTCTCCCTCGTAAACCTGCCACCACCGCGTTGACTTTATCGGATGCGTTATTATCACCCAATACGGTTGCGGATGCGCAAAGAACGCTGGTTTGCCACGGTCGTTTATGAGGAGGATCGTAAGATGGACGGAACTAGAGCGGGGGAGAAGGAAGGCGAAGGGATGAGAGAGGGGAAGCAGACAGAGACGGACGGTGAGACAATAAGAAAAAAGAAAGAGAGATTTAAAACTTCGCTGCTACCTCGCCAGATCGTATGTATGAATGTAAATATGTATATGTGTATATATACATAGGATTAATCTCGTATAACGCGCGATCGTCTTTTGATGTACTTAAAAAAATGTTTTCAAATTCTACGAGTTGAAGAAAGAATGTCTCATTCTTTCTCAGAATGTGTACTACAGCCACCTTGTGGACCTCGCTATAAGTTATGAGAGATGGTAAAAGAGTTTCAAAAATCTACCGACCGCGGACATTTTTAAACAGCCAATTTCCAATTTCCGTTAGTCATCCGTCAAACAAATTCACCCTGCGTGTAATTTCTTCTCTTTCTTCTTTTTCTTTCTTTCGTAGACACAAAGTATACAAAACCAAAGGGAATGAGGATATTTCTACGTTCGTCCGATAGGTTGAGAGGAAGGAAAGGAAGTTCATAAATTGATACAAGTTTATCATCCGTCTATCACTATTTATCGACTGTATCGCAGACTATCGCGGGTCAGTCAATTCTGTACAATTCTCACTATCGTGAAACATTAAAAACATTACATATATATATATGTGGTGTATATATATGTGGTGCATATATATTTGTATATGCTCTCTCTATTTGTGGTAATTCTTTCGAAATAAGGGAAGCGATCGACGTTTATAAAATTTCGTTAATTAACGGACGACGATGGCGATGACGACAAAGACAACAAAAACGACGATAAGAATGACGACAATAACGACAATATGACAACGATACAATGACGACAATAACAACGATAACGACGACGACGATGACGATATGATGACGCATCGAAGAAGACATTAAAGAATAGACTTTTCCACTTGGCCAATTACATCGGGAGAAAGAGAAAGATTTTAGTTATTCCATTAAATATCCTAATTAAAATATGACGAAATCTAAATTTGGTCCAGGAGCATCGATTTATTCGAAGGACAGTGGAGAATCACGAAGATAAGAGAAAGACAGACAGAGATATCGTTCGTACATACATACGTTACACGAGCATTGGAAAATTACTAAAAATTATTAAAATTTATACAACAAAATGATTTATCGTAGAACGATACAATAGGAACGTAGTCTAATCTTGGTTTGAAAATAGGTAATGATATTGTTTCGCTGAAAACATTGACAGGACTTTTATTTGTGCTTGCAAAATGAGTTCGAAATGAAGAAAGAAAATAGAAAGAAAAAGAGAGGAAGATACTGCTAAACGTTGATTACGTATTGCTAATGTCTGTCAACTAAAAACAAGAAATTACGAAGACATTAACGTAACCAACCAAGCGACAGCGAGAGCATCAAATTTCGCACGGTCAAGGGTCTCTAGAACTCTACTCTCGAAGGAAGCACGAGGTGTACGATGAACATGACAAAAAGAAGGGAGATACGATAAAATGGAAAGAAATCAGACGGCTAAGAAAAAAGAGAGGGAGAGGAAAGAACGAGAAAAAGAGATAGATAGATAGACAGAGAGAGAAAGAGAAAGAGTGAGAGAAAAGAAGAGAGAAAAGAGCGAAAAAAGGGAGATAGTTACGATGTGTGGTGCGCGCGCGCCCGCGTGTGTGCTCTATGTAGGCGCGTGAAACGAAAGGGAGAAAGAGGGAGAGAGAGATAGGAAACTATGCAACGTGCGATACAAGAGAGCGCAGCTTCGATTTTATTCGTCGTCCCAGAGAATGATAGTCGGAAATACGAAGACAAGAATTTGCTCCGATCAAATCCCAATGAACCAACACAACAAAAACTCGACATGTTGATGTCCATTTATACACTAAACGCGTCTATCTAGTAGTAAAATCACAGGCGCGCTCGCGCGCGCCTCTTGCTCATCATCTTTCTCTCCTTGGCATCCCTTTTTTCGTCATGACCGTCATCGTCGTTATAATCTTACTTGTCTCTCGCTGGCTTGCGAATTGTAGTAGTACTGGCAGTAGCAGTAATAATGTAGTAGTAGTAATAGTAGTAGTCTAGTGTAGTGTAATAGTAGAAGTAGCAGTAGTGATAGTAGTAGTAGTGTAGTAGAGTAGTGGTAATAGTATAGTAATAGTAGTGTAGTAGTCGTCGTCGTGTCGTCGTTGGCGGCAGCAACGACTGACGCGGCGCACAGCGTTACTATTATTATTCACTAACACAATAAACCCATTGTGTTCCCGGTGGCACATTCCGCGCATACGCTAGTATGCACGAGAGTACAAGGGTGGACGCGTGACACGATTCACCGTTCACCGGCCATCTCTTTTCTGTTGCGAGTCAAGCCGAACGGAGAATCGGATCCGTTCGGTCGGTGGGTTGCCGCTGCCGCCGGCCGGACACGCTCGTGGTGAATATCGTTACGAGTTTTGTGTGTATGTATGTGGTGTGTGTCGCGTCGGAGAAAGAGAGCACGCGCGCGCGCGCGCGCGCGCGTGTGGTCATGAGAGAGAGAGAGAGAGAAAGAAAAAGAGAAAGAGAGAGAGAGAGAGAGAGAGAAAGAAAAAGAGAAAGAGAGAGAGAGAGAGAGAGAGAGAGAAAGAAAAAGAGAAAGAGAGAGAGAGAGAGAGAGAGAGAGAGAAAGAAAAAGAGAGAGAGAGAGAGAGAGAGAGAAAGAAAAAGAGAGAGAGAGAGAGAGAGTAAGAGACAAGAGCGACACTGCTGTTCGCGACGAAGTGGGGATACCAACGCGAAAGGGGAAACTGGTGGGACGACGAGAGTCAATGTAAGAGGAGAAGGTGGGAGCGAAAGGTTGAGTGCGATCAGGGGAGGGATGAGGGAAGCAAGAAGGTGGAGGGAAAGAGAGAGGTGAGCGACGAGGAAAGTGCGAGACGCGTATGGTCGTCGTATAAATAGAAGCTATAGGCGGCGTATACTGACTCCTAGAGTAGAGGTAGTGGATACTCGTAGCAAGGACGAATTACTTTGCTTGCTTTTACCACGGGCACGGGAGTCACTGACACATTATAAAAGCTCGTGCGCACGTGCACTTTTACACGCGCGCACACGCGTAACGTACCGTACGTCTCTTACTCTCTATGCGCGCGAGCCAGTCACGAAAGAATAGTACACACACGCGCATGCACACACACACACACACACACACACCTATGTGCGGAGCACTAAGAGAGCGAGTTCACGCAGAATGCGAGGCTCTCTTGGATACAGGGTCCTGCCTGTGGTCACCACCACCCGCTGCCACCGTCCTCGTCCTCGTCGCCGTCTCCGTCACCGTCGCCGTAATCTGTCACTACGGCGACCGTTCTCCTTCCTAGGCGCCAGTTTCGGCCATTCTGTTTCATTCGGTCACTAACCATCGATGTCTCGAACAAAAGACCAGAAGAGGAGAGTAGAGGAATACGGTGAACAAGAGCACACAAACGGCAGGGTTAAACACATACACGTACTACATATATATACACACACACATATACCGAGAATGCGATGCCCAGAACTGGTAAATTCCGAGGCAATTATCGGCTTCGCAGAGAAGCTCTGGGCACTCTCCGTACTTCTTCTTTATCCCCGAGAGACCGGACAAGACTTTCCTTTTTTTGTTTGATCACACACACACACACTACGAAAGAAGAATAGAATAGTCTTCCGATAGTAGCACATATATTAAACATACAACCGGTATAGGACACAATCGGAAACAAGAATAGGGGGAGACGTTCGCTCGTACGATTCTACACTTCGCGAATTCAATTTAACCAATACGCTGCGTACGCGAACGAGAATCACTAATGTTCCACCTACGAGTTATTGACATCTTTCTTTTTTTATACATAGCTATTATATGTGCTCGCACCCGTCACCGTTACCGTCCTCGTCGTCGTCGTCGTCGTCGCTGCGCGACGCCTCGTTCACACTCTCCCCCTCCCATTCATTCCTTCCTCCTTTCTTGCCACCCCGCACGACGACGATCACGTACAGTCTCGGACTTCTCGGTTGCTCAACTGAACCGCTTTACACTCCGGCAGCTCTTACAACCGAGCGATCACGCGCGCGCATCTACGTTCTCCTCCTCGTCGCTACGCTCCTCCCTCCCCGAAGCCCTATCCCCAGTTCACTCCGCCAGCGATCCAGTCGGGCGCGCGTATACGCGACGAGCATCGCGTAGAGAGCAGACACGCGGCCGCTAGCGAGCGGGTATGCCGTCATACAAAATATCACTGACGATGATGCGTCACACAGTGTACCTTTTAATTTCTCCACTCTCTGTTTTACTCTTTTAACTCTAATAGCTAAATTACGAGAAAAAAATAGAGAGAAAGAGAACATATTTCATTTCTTAAGAATGCAACGAACATACAATTTGAAGTGTACGACTAAAGACACAGGGTCAACTTTATTCGTCGCCGAGCCTGTGCTTGGTAGTTCGGTCTCCTATCATCAGGGCCGTCTTACGGATTATCCCGATACACACGGGATGGATCAAATGTGCGAGACTACGCGTGATTTTTTTACTTTTTACTTTCGTTGCGAAAAATAATAACGATAATTTTATTGATATCCTATTATTTTTCTATATATGGATATAAAATAACCGAATAAGTCGTTGCTTCGGTCAGCTCTTGATTTTTAAATTTTATGGTTTAAGAAAAAAAAAGGAATTATAAAGAGATACAAAGTGTAAGATATATGTGCATTTGAAGGTAATATTATGTTGTATTGGAAAATTATTAAAAATTATTTCTTATTACAATAAACGAACAAATAAATTTACTCGTGTTTCATAATGTCTATAAAAAGCAATTACCATACAACAAAATATATTATAGTTGACAGTAAACATTTTTTCGCTTTTTTCAGCACTATTTTTTCTTTACAATAAAATAAATAGTATTATATTTAATAAATAGTATTATATTTATAAACCCCCGAACATTCTTATAAGAAGAACTTGTGCATACTTATGCACTGTGGAATTATCCAAAAAGTATCTGTGGTATAAATTCAAATTACGCGCGCAATTAAGCTCTTCTGTGATTCTCTTTCATTATGAGCGTAATTCGTAGAGAGATAGGTAACGAAATATCGGAGCGAGGATACATAAGCGCGCCAGATTTAAACAGAACTGTGTCGATCAATGCTGATACGGAGTTGTTACCAGGAGTCGAGAATTATTGAAAAGATACATTGTACTTGGCAACTCGTTCGATTCCCTACCTTTCTTTCGACGTTGGTACCTATTTCCGGGACAGGACAGGATAGTGATAAAATGGATTTCTAATTCTCGCGCGCGTATACATAATAACCAATCTGGTTTTATCTCGGTTGAATCTCGATCTATCTGTCAATTGGCATTTAATTGTATTCGTTCTTATATCTTTGCTCGATAGTTAGATAAGTTTCTAACCTCACTCATTCTTTTCCTTTATTGCTTTTATACGAAAGAAAAAATAAGATATGAGAAAGATTAGGAACGAAAAAATAAGGGAAGTCTATGTCCGAATAGAGCCGTGGACAGTGCATTAGCGAGTTCACGTTCTCTTTCTCTTTTTCAAAAAATTTATCGATCCTAAGATCTTGTTGGCCTCTCCCTCTGTTAGAGCTAATCACAGATCTTTGTATTACAGATCGAGCGTGGCAACAACATTCGATTAATCGTTCTTTACCTGTGGTTTGTTCCTGTACGTGGCGACGGTGGTGGTTGTGACGGGGGTGGCAACGGTGGCGGTGGCGGTAGCGGTTGTGGCGGATATGCTTCGCATCGAACAAAGGCGAGAACGAAAAAGCAAGTGCGTGCGGGTGTAGAGAAGAAAGCGGGACATAAGAGGATAGGAGTTAGAGAGAGAGAGAGAGAGAGAGAGAGAGAGAGAGAGAGAGAAAGAGAGAAAGGAAGAAAAGAAAGAAATAGAGAGAGAGAGAGAGAGAGAGAGAGAGAGAGAGAGAGAGAGAGAGAAAGAGGGACAAACAGAAAGAGACTAATACGACGATCCTTCTCCTCCTGTGGCGCTGCTGTCGTACCGCTCACTCCTCTAGCCTATCGCTGAGAGCACTATCGGAGAACCACCGCACCTTCCTCCATGTTGCTCGATACTCGAAATCCTCTGCAGAGAGAAAGATCGACGATTGGCACTAAACACTACGAAGAATAAACGAAAAGAGAGAGATGATAGGGCACGTGCGTGCGTAGATTTTCTCTCTCTCTCTCTCTCTCACTCTCTCTCTCCCTCCTTTTCTTTCTTTCTTCTCCCACACACGTACACGCATACACAGAACACATATACACAATAAAGAGAGCACTTGACCGAAAAATGTACCGGCGACGGCTCTCGTAGCCTCTCTGTCACCGCGCGCGCGTACTATCTCCACGTTCCTCAGCACTACTGGAGACCTTGCTCGCTCGTCTGCGACTAACGCGCGCGCGGTTGACCGAGAGAAAGACACCAAGAAGAGAGACAGAAACAGCTGTGACGCGCGACGCCCGGCCAGCCGCCATTTACAGAAACGCACACAGCCTTTCTTTTTCTCTTGCTTTTTCTCTCCCTCCCTTTTCCTCTTCTCTTTCTTTCCCTCTCTCTCCCTCTCTCTCTCTCTTTTCCTTCCTCTCTCTTTTTCTCTCTCTCTCTTTTTCTCTCTCTCGACCAGTGCAACCTCTTACCTCTCCACCAGTGCAACCCTCTCTCCTCCCCAACCGACGCGTCTATCCGACCTATCCCAATTACAGCAACGTCCTTGAAGTGACTAACACCTCGTCGTTCACCGGCTATGTGAGAAATACAGAGTGGGATACGTGTACGTCAGTCGAAAGAAGGAGAAATATAGGGGTAATAGAGAAAGAAAGAAAGAGAGAGAGAGAGAGAGAGGAGAGGAAAAGTCTCGTTGCTGGGGAGAAGAGCGTTCTGACAACGACACGACGACGGCAACGACGATCACGACGACGGCGGCGATGACGACGACGTCACATCGACGATGATGAGGAGTGAGAGAAGCTGCGAGGCGAAGAAGGAAAGAAGAGGAAGAGTGCTTTAAACCTTCGTCAGGCGCTTCATAGGAACAAGAACGAAAGAGAAAAGCGATGTAGAGTCCATGGTTCCTGGAATGCTTGTCGCCGGGCAAGATAGGAGGGGACACCAAGCAACGAGGAAAGGGTGGAAGGACAAACTAGTGGGGATAACGAACACGCCTCCGTACACTGGAAAAGAGAGAGAATAGGAAAGGTTGCTCGATGTGGAACGTCAGAGAGTTACGGAGTAGCGCATTGAAATCGCGATCTTAATGCGTCTCTCTCTTTCTCTCTCTTTCTCTTTCTTTCTTCTCATCGTTCGCATTCGTTACCGCGAGATCGATGGCGCGCTAATCGCTGAGAATATCGTCGCGCGGTGAAAGAAGCGGCACTGATCACGCACAGCCTCCAGCGCACTTGAATGACACTTGTAGCCCCCTTCTACGAGTTCTTCCATTACTCTCTTAATGAAATGAATCTTGTATAAGCGAGCACAAGCACTTGTTCGCTTGCCAACAATTTTTCTTAATACCCCTCATTTCCTTGGGAATTCCTTAAGATTAAGATTTTTCAGATATAGATGTATCGATATTTCTAAAAATCAATTTCTAAAAACACCCATTTTGGCATATTGATACTTTCGAAATTGGATAATATTTATTATGACATTTCGAAAGATTATTCATCGATTAGAAAATTCCTAGAGGTCACCGCACCGTACATTGTTTTAAGTCGATTCTCTTAAAGGGTAATGGCTTTTTCTTTGCTTCTCGAATGGCATCTCGATTATTGATTCAGCAGGTGTCGATCTTGAACAGTTAAAGAAATGCTTCAGAAAGTGGATTTTCCGAGTAACAACCGGAGAACTTTAATACGATCGATTACGTTTACATTGCGTTGATTTCTTACGTTATATTCGTATTAATCGTTTTCTAAACATTTTATCGTTGGCAATGCTATTGTCGAATTTCTCATAAAAACATTGCGTCCTTTCTAACGGGCAGCTGCAACCTGACATCGAACGAGAGAGAGAGAAAGAGAGAGAGAGAGAGAGAGAGAGAGAAAGAGAGAGAGAGAGAGAGAGAATGGGTGCGCGCGAAATTGGTCGGTTCGTTTGAAAGTTGAAGAAGCGCGCTTTTCGCTACTTGTATACATACTGGAGCATCAGCAGCACGCGCACACACATATACGTATGTACGCACGCACGCCCATGAACACAACACGTACACATACGTATAACTATTGAATACTCTTGCTCGTCGTAATAGACGCGTTTCCTGTTAAGCAAGCGTAGAAACTCGACTTTCGAAGAAACGAGGTTTTTCGTTCTAATCACGAAGGTGGTAAAGAGAAGGAGGAAGAGGAGGAAAAAGAGAAGGAGGAGGACGACGATGAGAGGTGAATCATCGACACTCGGTACACACATTCGTATCTATATATATATATAGTATATATAAACACATATGGAAACCGAATACGTATTCAAATTGCATAAAAATTCTCACGCGTATATAGAAAAAAAGAAGAAAATGAAAAAGATGAGAAGCGGCATATAGGCGAGGTACACGTGCGTCGTTCGGCTCATCGTTCGCGTACGAGCCACTCACACTCGTGGGAACGAGCAAAAGAGATAAGATCGACGCTTTGCGCGTTAAACTAATTGCGCACGGCGACGCTGGCGATATTTAAAAGTGATACATATACATATGTATATATATGTACACATATACATACTTTGCAACCGCCCTTCTTTACCTTTCTTTACCCTTCTCGCTTCTCGGATAGACTCCTCACCGGCGCTTCTCTTTCGCGCATCGTCCATTCTCCTTCGCCTCTCTCTCTCTCTCTCTCTCTCTTTCTCTCTGTTCCTTTGTAAAAGAAGTGGAAAAAAAGGAGCACGGCGCGGGCGCACTGATTTCTCGTAAGATAAAAAAGAAACGCATCGGAGGTTACGTTAGACGCGTCGTTCTCTGGAACAAAAATAAAAGAACAAAAAAAAGAAGAGAAAAAGAAAAAGATAGATAGTGAGAGAGAGAGAGAGAGAGGATGATGCTTCTTTTTACTCTCTCTCTCTCTCTCTCTCTCTCTCTTTCTCTCTCTCCTTTCAACACGCGCGCGTATTCTAACTTATTTGTGTTTACGTCACCGGGTGGTTTTTTTCTTTCTGTTTTCTTTTTCTTCTTTATAACTATTATTATTACTATTATTATCGTTGTTTGATACACGCGGATAGAAAACGGTAGGAGATTTCAAGTTTTGCGCTTTTATTTCCTTAATTTCTTATGATATAATACTAACAAAACATTTAGTTTTTACAAAACGTGTCTGTATGTTCTTCTTCTTCTTCTTCTTTTTTTGACGTGTGCGTGCGCGCGCTAGCGCGAGCGCGGTGTGTATGTGTGTCGTGACAAAAGCGGCTATGAGCGTATGCGCGCATTTTGCGCGCATAGCGTTCCTGGTTAAAATGTAGAGATTATTTACGATTATTTCATAGGTTTTAGTTTTATTTTTATTTCATTTTTTTTTTCTTTCTTTCTTTTCTGCGGCGAGTAGATGGATTTATAATAATAATAGTCATAATAATAATCATAATTATAATAATAATAATAATAATAATAATAATAATAATAATAATAATAATAATAATAATAATAATAATAATAATAATAATAATAATAATAATAATAATAATAATAATAATCATAATCATAATCATAATAATAATAATAATAATAATAATAATAATAATAAAAAAGAGATTTATAATACGCAGATGAAGGATGTGTCACGTGCGCCTCGCTTTCCCATAGGCTCTCTTCGTTCGAATTTGTATCTCGTTTTTTTTCTTTTCCTCTTTTTTTTTTTTACTTTAATTTTTTTCTTTTTCTTTTTTGCAAATATCGATATTTCGCGAGTCTACATATGACGTGATCGATTTTGTTCTTTCTTTCCTTTTTTTTTTGTTCTGCGATTCCTTAATATATTTCTCCGTGAATAATAAATGTATGATAAACGCACGAAGGGATAAAAATGCTACTACACAACATGCGATATAATAATAGTATCATTATACCTCGATAATTAGTAGCTATAAATAGTTTTCAATAATTATTTGTCCAAACACTGAATATTTTACAACAGCCATCGATATCTCAACTAGTCCATAACTCTATTAAACAGTTAGCAACTTTTACAGTTCAATTTTCACTTTAATAGTTATGCGTAGCATGTCCGATCGAATATCGTATCAATAATAGGGGTATATCATAAATTTTGTAATTTTCTAAAAAATATCCTCTAAAAAATATGTTGACCTAAAGATTATTATGACTGATAATCACAGACAATTTTTTTTTCAATTTTCCTTTCGTTCCACCTTCAGTTCGTCCTTAATATTATTCTGTTCTCTCTTTCTCTCTCTCTCTCTCTCTATCTACTCACTCTCTCGTTCTCTCTATTTACTCACTCTCACTCTCTCTCTCTCTCTCTCTCTCTCTCTCTCTCTCTCTCTCTCTCTCTCTCTCTCTCTCTCTCTCTCTCTCTCTTAAACAAGTACGACGTTCAAATTTCTACATTTCGTTTAAACGTTAGAATAATTATATAGTTTTTTTTTCTTTTTTACAAGAAGCGTTTTATATTTCGATTTGAATTCCTTAGTCTCTTAAATATTCCTTAGAGGTACATTTAACAGAAAAGATGCGAAGAGAGAAAGCTCCTATTTGTAAAAGAGAGCTCGATGTGACGTTTCCCGAATTTGTTTGAAGAAGGAAAGCAGAAAAAAATGAAATAAAATATAAATAAATAAAAGTACAAAAATGGGCAAAAGTCGGCAACGTCGAGTAATAATAAAACGCAATAAATTTACAATCACAATTTTGCATATCTTTCTTCGATACAATTTGAACAGTATATATTTCAAATTTGCCGCCCGCCCGGATAGGTATAGGGAAAAAGAACAAAATATTAAAACAATAAAAAAATAGAACGACATTTTGTGTGCCTAAGGATCGGTGACTCGGTGATGTATTATGCTTTTTATCCATAGAATTATAAGTAATGGTAATTAATTAATAGTAATGATAATAACGAGAGCATAAATGTAATACTAAAGAAGCACGTCTATACTCTGCTAACAGATTAGAAAATACATAGGAGCAGTTTAAAAAATTACAGAGTATGTGTATTATGAAAAAAAGATATGTATGTAAATAAATCAAATTCACCGGGGGGTAAAGGAAAATGATGTTTTTTTCTTCTTGTTGTTGTTGTTTCTTTTTCATATTCAAAGACGCACAACCGTTAAAACTACTTTGTTTTCATTTCCTTTTCGGAGCATATATATCTTACGAAATATTGTAAATAAAAAAATAATTGGAAAATACAGCATGTTTCGTACATGACTATATATCTATGCGTAGCCATATAACCAGACAGTACATAGTCCATTTTATAACGATCACCGTGGGTAGAGCGACGCACAAAAGGAGGAATTTTGAAGTACGCTTTATTTATTTATAAACTCTCTGCGCTCTCGTACTTCAAAATACCGCATATATTAATTTTGTTTACGATTTTTAAGAAACGATTAATGAGGCTTTACTCGAACGAGAAACGCATCTTCCTTGTCCTGTAAAATGATTGATCCGTTGAATGCTAGTTCCTATTCCATCATGTGCACCGTTTCAAAAATCTCACGACATTAATTTATTTTCCATATTTTCGTTATTGTTACTTTTCGCCCCTTTCTTTCTTTCTTTCTTTCTTCCCTCCCTTCCCTTCCCCTCCCACCCTCTCCCGTTAATCTCCCCGCCCCACCCCCCTTAGAACCACTCCAGCGCGTAATCAATAAATATCAATAAAATATCTAACATTGCTATTATATTTTCAAGTAATGTACCTTCCTTATGGCGTATTACCTTTTCTTTACAGATTAAAATTAATTATCATTATATTAACAATATTCGTCATCTCCCAATAATAATTATTTAATTATCGGTAATTACAATATTAAAAAAATTCAGAATATGTAAAACAAAATAAAATAAAAAGAAAAAAAAAAAAAAAAGAAAAAAAAATAATAAAAAAGAAATGGCAATTTCTCGTGACCAGAACAAGTTCTCATTTTTACCTTGTTTTTATCAACTTTTTACAACTCAGCATACACATTTTGTACCAAACCAGGCCGATTAGAATGTTAACGCGGCTGGCATTATTCGTTCGATTGTAATAATGCTCCTGCCGTTTCATTTATCCTTTATATTACTTCATTAAATAATTCGCGATCGGTATTCATCATAT